GTTATTTAAAAAAATAATTTATATAAATTTTAATTAAAATTAAAATTACTATAAAGGTATTTAGTAAATCAGGAGAAAAAAATTAAATCAAATTAAAAAAATGAATGTGCAAAAAAATATAATTTTTCTTATAATATTATGAATTGAAAAAAAACAAAAGAAAAATATAAAAAAACTATTAGTTATTATTTTTTAAAGATTGACTTGAAATTTATAACTTTTGAAGTTGAATAAAATTAATGTTACATACAAAGAAGAGAACCTAGGGATTGTGCAAATTAAAGTTTATTTTAATTTTTTTGTAGTACAGTATATTGTTATACTTAAAAGAAAAAATTCTTTAAAATTGAGTTACTACAAATGAATACAAATATTGACTTTTCAATTTCTATATAATTTATCGCAATAAACATTGACCTATTTGGTTAATTATTTCAAGAATAATCAATAAATATTATATGAAAGAAGTTAAGAATAAATAAATTTTACATAATTATCATATCACACAATAAATTAAGAAATATCAAACAATAAATAGAGTTTTCAAAGCAAAAAAAATGATAGAAAATAAAATGAAAATAAAAAAACATAAATATAATTTTAAATTTTGATTTTTTTTTATTTTTATAAGAATAAAAAAACCCTAAAAAGGTGATTTACAGAAAACGAAAGAGAAGAGAGAGCTCGATAAGAAGGAAAGGAAGGGTATATTTTAATAAAAGATATTTTTGAAAAAAAAATAACTCATAAAAAACTAACGTATTTTTTTTAAAAAAAAATTCTATTTGGAGCTTATTTTTAAGTTCTTCTTGAAATTTTTATTCTTTAAAAAAACGCTACTTAAGAGCTTCTCACAAAATATGGTTTAGCTCAACTTTTACTTTTAAGAAATAAATAACTTAAAAATAAGTTAAGCCAAGTATAATTTAAAGATAGTGACTTTTGGAAATTTTTAGATAATTGAAATGCTAATTGGATTAGAAACTGAGAGCTTCACCGGTTCAACCTCTGGTCCGGCTTTTAACACATTGCCTAACAACCAATATGCAATCAGTAAAGATCAGAATATGCCACCAGAGTTAGAACAGGGATATGAAAGAGGATTCCGTGATACACTGGACCATCCAGTTTGACCCATGTGACGAACGCCCACTAAAATTAAACGTACAAAAAGGACCAGATGGGTGAAGTGTACTCAAGAAGTGAAGCAAAAGTGATTTTCGTGTTTTCATATTCGGGGCCTAAATTCCTTCGTTCGTTGTGTTATTGTTCACTGATCACCACCCAATGGGAACCGCCACTCATCAAGATATGAACTCTGCTCCAATCATCCAACAGAACAAACGCAGAATATATTCTTTAAGAGATAACAAGTACCACTCTTATCCAAACGACATGAAGCCACTTAAAATACCAAAAAAGAAAACCCTCACAACCCCAAATAGTATAAGAATTATTCCAACGGAAAAGAAGGGCATAAGTCAGACAAAAACTTTGATCCTTGAGCAAACTCAAAGCAAAACTTGCTCACAATTTAAGCATGACACATATGGTTTAATGTTTTGTTGCAAATGATTTTATGGGTGGGATTTGGTATATAAAGATGAACTTTTTACCATTTATTAGATATGTCTTTTGGATTAAGAATGTAAGCTCATGATTTGTATGTTTACTTAAGCTCTATTTTTAGAATTTAAAGTCACATGAGGTGAGTTGATATCGTGAACTCGTGATTTATAGGTTTGCTCAAATTTTATTTTTGAAGTTTAAGATTTCATGAGGTTATGCTTAAGTTTTACCCTGTGAAGTATAAATGGACAACTTGGGCCCGGCTCGCTAAAGCCTAGAACTAGCCTTGTCTCAACTATAAACACAGTCATTTCTTTCAAGAAAATTTTACACAATTAAGGATCTGTTTGTTTTACATAAAATTAAGTTTAAGTCCTAACCCCTGATAAAAAGTACAAATGTATAACTTGGGCATGATTCATTAAAGCTTAGAACCAACCTTATTCCAATAATAAACACAGTCGTTATTTTCAAAAAAATTTGATGCAGCTAAAAGTTCATTTGTTTTGATATAAAATATCTTCCGTTTTCAAGATTTATATTTGTTTGGAAGATAGAAAATTTATTTTAAATGTAAAACATTTTATGACTCAATTGAAAATCATGTTTTTTGAGTTGAAAATATTTATTCGTGATTTATAGGCTTATTTAAGTTCTCTTTTTAAAGTTTAAGGCCATATAAAATTAGATTCAAGTTTCAAACCCACGTGACAAGAAGATAACTTGAGCCTAGCTCACTAAAGTCTAGAACCAACCTTGTCCTAATTGTAAACATAGTTGTTGCTTTCAAGAAAATCTAACGTATCTAAGTTTCATTTATTTTACATGAGATTGAAATTAAGTTCCGACCTATGACAAGAAGTATAAATGGACAACTTGAGCTTGGGTCACGAAAGCCTAGAACCAGCCTTTGTCCCAACCAAAAACACAATCGTTTCTTTCAAGAAAATTTGATGTAGTTAAGGGTTCATTTTTTATTTATGTAAAATATCTTTCGTTTTCAAGATTTATATTTGTTTGGAAGACAAATTTTATTTTAGATGTACAATATTTTACAAGTCAACAGAAAAATATTTTTAAAACTTATACTTATTTGGAAAATAAAAAATTTTATTTTAGGGTCTATTTGGTAATCGAAAAATGGGGAAAATTTTTTTGTATAAATTATTTTATAGGAAAATTTAATATTTTTTATTATTTGGATAAATTGTCGAAAATATTTTGTATTGTTTGGATCATCCTAGAGAAATATTTCCTTTATAGTGAAGTTATTTAGGTGTTCAAATAATAAATAGGACTTCATTACAAAACAATATTGATATTTGATTTTCACTAATTTGGAATCAAAATTAAGAATAGAAATGAAAATGAACAAAATCAATAATGATATTTCTCAATACATTTAATCATATATCTATAATGAAAATAAACTTTAATTTTAAAATTTTTTTCATCTTATCACTTTTTTATCATAATTATAAAAATATAAAAATTCAACAATTGTGTAATATATCCATAACCTATACTTATAAATATGCATTTACTAAATGACGATCATTAAAATATTTTTCATTACAATTATTAGTAAGATTTAAACTTATTATAAATGCATATTAATCAAATGACCATTGAAATATTTTTTTATAATTATTAAAAAAATTTATTCAATTTATAAATAAAAAACTTAATTGCATTGAATGATTTCATTAAAATTTTTTATTAGTAGTGTTGTATAATTTAAATACTAATATTTTAAATTAAAATTTAAAGTTAAATATTTATATTTTTTATTTTTTAAATATTTTAGTTAAGTATTAATACTCATCAAATTTATATTCATAGACCTAATATAAAAGTGTTTTCATTGTTCTCTAAAAAATGTATTATGCCTTTTTAAGGGCGTAAAACATTTTACGTGATTAACTTTTTTTACTCATAAAATACTTTACATCTAGAATCAATTTTTTGCCTTCCAAACAAACATAAATCCTTAAAACGTTTTCCGAAAAATATTTTACTTAAAAAAAAATAAACTTTTCGATGTAAAACATTTCACAGGTTAACAAGAAAACCACGTAAAATGTCTTACACCCTTGAGAGGCGTAAGACATTTTTCAAAGAATAGAAAAACTGCTCTTACACTAAACTTAGCATAATAAGTTTAATGAATATTAACATTTAACTTAAAATATTAAAAAATATTAATATTTAAATTATTCAAAACTATTAAAATTAAAAAATATTTTTAATAAAATCATTCAATGAAATTATTATTATTATTTATAAATTGAATAAATCTTACAAATAATTATAACAAAATAATTTTCAACAATCCTCGTTTAATAAATGCACATTTATAAATATAAGTTTTAAATATTTTATATAATTGCTGAATATTGATGAAATAAAGTTTTTTTTTTGAAAATCAAAACTTATTTTCATTATAATATATGATTAAATGTGTTGAAAAATATAATTATTAATTTTTTTCATTTTCACTTTCATTCTTAATTTTTCATTCTTAATTTTAATGTGAAAATTAAATAACACTATTATTTTATAATCAATTCCTATTTGATTTTCTCCATTTTCATTTCCATTCTTAATTTTAATATAAAAATTATTGTTTTGTAATCAACTCTATTTATTATTTTAACACCCAAATAACTTCACCAATGATGGTCAAAAATATTTTGCACAAGATGATACAAATAATAAAAAATATTTTCGATAATTTATCCAAAAAACAAACAACATGAAATATCTTCATAAAATATTTTACACAAAAAAAAATTTCCCCAACAAATTATTTTCTGATTACCGAATGAACCCTAACTAACAAAGACCACTCAAGACTTGCAACAACCTTAGTTGTTTCCCCTTTGAATCAAATATAAGCCCTGTAATAAGATTATGCAAAGACCACCCAAGACTTGCAACAACCTTAGTTGTTTCCACGTTGAATCAAATATAAGCGCTGTTATAAGATTATGCAATTTCTAAACACTCCCCAAGTTAGATTATTTGCTTGATCTACTGAATACAGTAAGAGAGAAGCTGTTTTCTTGTGAGAGGTGTTATAAGCCAACACTGCATCAGGAAAATTCCATTTCTTTTCTTTTTGATCTTTTAAAATATTTGGGGGTGTTTCTGGGGTTTCAGGTCTGGTTCGCTACTGAACACTAAATGGATATTGATGAAGCCACTTCAATTACAATAACTAATCAGCAAGGTCAAGCAGGGGATTGGCAGACCGTAGGATTTAAAGATTTTACGCTTTTATCTATGATTTAGTCTGATTTCAGGAGAAACAAATGAAACTAATTTGCTAAAACAATGGCTTATAGCCATAAACTGCTTTTGCTATGATTCTTATGTTTGCCTCTAAATTGCACATATTGCATTCAGTAAATACATTACCATTCAGAGAGAAAGAGAAATGCCGAAGTGACGTGATATTTTAATGCAAAATTAATAGGTCCTTGGTGCAAAAGTTCATACAAACTGCTTGATCCATACAGAGGGCTCAATACATAGATCAAGAAGATGGAACACTATAAGCCGCTAAAAACTAATTTAGATATTAATCAGCACAGCAGGGCTTTGACATTATGGCCGCAATGATATTAAAAAGCAATATTGAAGAACATAGAATTCCTGGCTACTCAATTTCAATTCAAAAGATGTTACCTCATGAAATACACATCCCCACTACTTTCAATGTAGATGGTTGGTCAAGTTAAACTTCTTTCCTGTGATGATCAAAGTAATATTCATCAGAATCGTGGTCTTTACAGTCTCTCAGGAAAGGATATATATATATATATATATATATATATATATATATAATGAAGTTATTGAATGCCTAGCTAATAAGTTGAAATTTTGTGGGGTAGAAAACTTACGTACTTCCTTTTCCTTCGATCAATTCCACTATTCCTCATATCATTTTTTGCAAGAGCAGATCCAGGGGGAAGACTGTATGGCATTGGAGAAAGCGCTGAAGAAGGAGCTGGAGAAGCAGTTGTCATAGCAATAGTGGAAGCAGGCACAGGCGGCATGGCCACCTGAGGTGGAACAGCAGCAGGGGGCAGTGGTGCAGGCGCAACAACTGGTTCAGGAGGAGGCTTAGGCAAAATGAACTTCAACCGATTGTTTCGATAGTTCTTCCAGAAGAAGAATTGCTGTCTGTGTGCCAATTCCTATAAGTTTCAGGTAACAGAAAATGAAAAAGAGATACCAAAAGTAAACAAAAAAGAGTGTCTTATATTGATATCAATAAAAAAATTACCTACTGCTTTTGGTGACCATAAAGATATTTTACTTGTCAATACCCAAAAAAACAAGTGCCATTATTGTGTTATGCTTTCAAATATCCTCTTTAACATATGCTACATGGTTTGATGCTACAGGCAAACTGGAAATTGGCAAAGCATCTAAAAACAACTAACCATAGAACCTTAAGAGGAAAACCAATTGGCTTTCTGATTATCACTGTCACTATCAGGCCAATACAAAATTTGTAGCATGAGCTCATGGTCACAACTGGGGGGTCCCAAGACCTTTGTTACAAAGGAGATTTAAAGAACCAAGAATTTCAGATGAGTGATAACATTAATCAGGACAACAGGGTCAGTAGGAAACATTAGAGCCAAACCTTGTTGACAGGATGTGCCATTGCATTACGGAAACTCGCATTTTGAAGAAGTTCAAGGAAATATAGGCAATGAGGATACCTGCAATCATCCTTCTCCTTCAGTTCATATGTCACATATAACAAACCCCAAAGAAGGGAGCTACACATTATCTACGGAAGCTATTAATCATCATTCCCCCTTGTAGTAAAAAAGATGTTAGTTTGAAGATATTCTAGCCTGAAGTATTAGGGCATGCTTTCTAGTTGCTTACATGATAAATTTTATGTACTCTGGCCGTTGCCAGTACTGAAGATATTTCAAGTACCCAATAAATGCTTCATCTTCAAAATATCGATTTTGAGCCAAATCTGCATCAGGAATTAAGGAGCGAGTATCAATGATGCGCACAGGGAGAATAACTCCGTTATGCAAATTCAACAAATTTTTGCAAAGCAAGTAAAAAAGAATGAAGCAGAAAGAGCAAGACAACCAATGAATTAGGTAAGAAAATTATGACACAATAAGAGCTAAAAGTATCCAATGTGCGTGTTCGTGCATTAATCAGGTTGAGTTGAATTCTTCGCCTTTCATGAATTTAACAGCATAAACAGCCAAAGAACTTCTTTTTAAAAAAGTAGTAGTAAAACCACAAGTCCGGACGAATACAGTGAATGTAAGTAGGATTGGCCAGGCACTGCACGAATTCCAATTCGAGTAAGAATCGCTGCCGCCCATCATCCGGATCCTTATACACGTTTTTTGGCCTGAAAAATTATTTGAAAAAAAAGAGCTGGAATTATAATAAATTCAGAGAGTATTTTTGCTAAACGAGAAGAGGACATGAATGCAAAAGACATAGAGAAGCTTACGAGGAAGGAGTATTGGAAGCGTTGTCACTTTCTTTAGTAGAAGCCATTGAACACTCCACTTCAATATAAAAATGATCAAAAGGGGTTGCAATTGATCATTTGATCACCACGCCGGTTAAATCCTCAGGAATCTTAAGATGGCTCCAAAAAAAAAAACCCTAACCCTAGAAATAGCAAAACACAAACATCCTCCAGATTTCAGAGAGTCAAATAGAACTGGCTCCCACAATGGGTTAAGAAGGCAAGGGGCAATTCGTGCTTCGGATGAGATAGGGATTCAGAAGAGAAGGAAGCGTCTGGGAGAAAATTGGGTTCTTTAAAGAATTTGTAAGTGGAGCAATTCCGCGCTAGAAATCAGAAACGTATGTGAGGCGAAATTCGGAATTTGGGTCGCGAGGCGGGTGTTTGCCATAAGTGAAGCAATTCACTTGTGTTGTTTATTCATTAAATTGGATTGCAGTGCAGGTCGCAGCCGCAACGGGTCATGCCGAGATGGGCAAGCCTCAGCTACGACCGTCCAATTCAAGCCCATTAGCCCAATATATATTGACAAATCATCCATTAATTAACTTGAATAATTCGAGCTTTATAGAGAATCAGCATAATTTTGTGCTTGAGTTCTACGCCTTGATCATATTAGCATACACTAGTTCCCAAGGCAGTGAAAGAAGTATTTATGAAGTTTCCAAATGATCATTGTTTGAACATAGACTGTTATGGGAAGTGGCATTAACTTTCTATAAAATTTTTCTCTGCCTAAGTTAGTGGGAACCAAAGAAGTATACACTGCCATTGCCTATCTCAAGCAGCTGGCTAAACAGTTTGGTCATCACTTAAATCCCAAAGCTTATCCATAAAAAACTAAAGAACTCTCATCTTGCAGTTATTAAGTTAAAAACTAAAGCACCTAAAAACCACTGCAAAGCTGGCCTTCTCTGCATTATGATCTATGAAAGTAGTCATTTTACCAAACATGAATACCCAACATTTTAAACTCATCCACACTGAGAAAATTAAATGATCAAATCTAAGACCAGGAATTCTCTAAATAATATTTCACAACATTTGCATCTCTGCCTCATTTATCCCCCATTGAAGTAAAGTAACGGCAAAGGTCAAATGAATGGATCCATTACACTCCCACAAGCTCACAATTCGAGAAAAATCCAGCCGGCCCTTTGGCAAGCAAATTCCACTTCAACTTTCTCCCTCCATATTATAGAACAACAATACGACCACCATAAATTATAAGTTATGGTCTTCTCAAAATTGCAGCTTCTGACAAAGTGAGATCCATCTTAATATGGCCTGTATCTCATGGGCCGCCTGAACCTTGGAACCCTCCTGAAAAAGAGGTCAATTGAGTTACTAACTCGGTTACTAAGCAGAAAATATCACATTCAATTTTTATTTTTTTTTGAAGACTGGGGAAAATATAAGCAAACATCAACTGATTACTAAATTCAAATGAAAGTTTCTAACGTAATAGACACCATTGAATCAAACAATTTGTCAGGACTGCAATGTTGGTTTGGAACCATTATTGCATAAAAGCTTAAATGATATAGGCATAGAAGTAACCCATTTTAAATGAAACCCTTATGATTATCAAAAAATGATATAGGCATAGCAAATGCTAAATCGCGGAGGCCATAAGTAATAGTTATAATGTCAGACTATGAGCATCATGAGATCTTTTCCACTTCCACGCATCTTATTCAGAAGCAAAAGATACATTATAGCAAAACCAACACTGGCTAAACTAACATAAAGAGAAAACAAAAGATTTCAATTATTACAGCCACACCCCCCCCCCCCCCCCCCCTTTTTTTTCTATCCAATAACCAAACAATGCAAATATATTTCCATGCTTACCCATAGCTATATGGAGGATAAAAAGCAGGGCCAGGCATGAAAGGCCTTCGGGAGCGGAAATATGGGTTGGGTCGCCTTCCTCGATACTGTTTCATTCCAGGAATATTTGTTCGTTTTGCAGAGACCTTGAATAAACCAAATACACTTTTATTATCATGCAGTTTATATTCATGAACTAGTAATCCATATATAAATCAAGTAATAAAACCTTCAACTGACGACCATGCAATTCTGATTCATTTAATAGCAGAGCGTTTTGAACAGCATCAACTTCAACAAATTCAACATAAGCAAATCCTTTAGGCTGACCAAACTTGTCAGTCAAAATTGTCACTCTGTTTACTGTTCCACAGGATTGGAAATGCTGCTGAACTTCTTCTGGTGTACATGCGTAGTCTACCTGTTGTTACAAAGATATACAAAGAAAAAGAGAGTAAGCCCACAACTAGATCATTTGCTCATAAGCACTGGGCAAATCATTTAGTTATACTAAATCTAGATTGTTATTTAAATATTTTACACCTAAACAGTTTAGAAGTTACCTAAAAAGGTCAAACAAAATGATTCCGCATTGTACAAACTACATTAATTACTCTGAATAACTCCTTATGGATCATATTTGTCTGAATCACATTGAACTTGACATGTATACAAACTAAGACTTGATAGTCCATACTCGTAATGTCGTGCACATACATGGAATTTTCAAGCCAGATTATATATGCACAAACATAATACACAAAGTGGGTTGAAGTGATCAAATGCCAAAACTCTTCCTACATCCTTATTAGCTGACTTAAAAGCATAATTATACTCTTAGCTTTACTTATTAGCAAAATTTATCCATGAAAGTGTTAATTAGACAGCAGATAAAGTAAATGTTACGATTTACCCAAATAAACAAACGAAGAAGGTTTAGGGGGAAAAAGGCATAGGAAAGGGTTGAAACCTCACATTACCAACATAAATCGAGCGAGAATCCACTTCCTCCTTTTCAGCTTGGGTTGCAGAAGCACTTGATGAATCTTCATATGCATCCAGAAAAAAAAAAGTAAAAACAAATAAGTTTACTAGAAATAAATTCACAAGCAATAATCCATAATTAAAAAATAAATACTCAAATCAATATAAATTAGTTTCACTCCTTTTTAAAAAATTAACAAGATATTTTCTTTCAGAATTTAACGACAAGCAAATCCCAATCTAATTCAAGCTTGTTAAATAATATAGCCAAAAACGCAGATCAAATACAAACCCAGAAACTAAAAAGAGAAAAAAAAAAAAAAAACCTTGGACAGCGCCCATCTCCTTCTCGACTTTAGCCTGCATTTCACGTAAAGCTCCGGCCTCTTCCTCGATCTCCTTAAGTCTCTTTTTCATGTCCTCCAAGTCCTGAAATTATCTCAAAAGGGTTGCTTTTCATCAGGCAAATAGCTCAGTTAAAGCTAAGGGATAAAAAAAAAAAAAAAAAAAGAAGAAAAAGGCAAAAAAAAAAGCAACCTTAGAGTTGGAATTGGGATCCTGTTCGAGGTCTTGCTCGTTGCCTTCGTAATCTTCAGCTCCACCAGACATGTCCACGTCAGCGTCCATCTCTCCTTCCTCGTCGGGGATCTCCCCTCCGTACACGTCGTGCTCTTGCTCCTCATGTTGCTCCATTCTTTCTTTTTTATTGTTGTGGTTTTTCGGGTGTTGAGAGTGGAATTTGTCAATTTGGGGAGATTCTGGATTTAGGTTTTTTAGTGTTTTGATTTGGGGAAGAGAAGGAAGGAAAAGAAAATAATGGCGAGTGCGAGATTGGGACTTGAGGGGAGGTCGGCGTGTGCCTTTGATATTTTTTTTCTTTGATCGATGGATGGGATTGGCGGAAGAAGTAAATTTGTAGTTATTACTCATCGGTGGGGGTAGTTTTGGGTTTTTATGTTTTTCAACGAGAGTGTTGGCCCAATTTGAGATCCAGACTATAGTTTAGGTCAAGGCCCACAACTAATTTAGGGTTCATGGTCGAGGGCCTCGGGAACAAAATTTTATTTTTTCTTATGTTAATATAATTATATTTAGAATATACTTTTAAACGTTTTTTGAAGTTAAATATATTTATTATGTTCTTAGGTTATCCCAATCCAAATTCAAAATTTCATACATAAGCCCTGGCTTGAATCCAAGTCAGGCAAGCAATTTTTATTGTTAACCTATATTAGTTAAATTGGGATATATACTGTGCATTAAAATTTTATTTTTGAGTATTGAATATTGTATTGTAAAATATTATAAAAATTTTAAAAATTAAATATATAAAATAAATTTTTTTATTTTTACTAATAAAATTAAGAATTATATGACATAAATTAAAACAATAATTATTTTTTAATTAAAATTCTCACAATGCATTTTAATAATATATACTTTAAAATAGAATATACATTTTTTGTGTTACTTTATTAATTAAAAGTTAAAAAACATTTTTCGTGTTTACAAGAAGACACAAAAACTCAAGACAGAATACAAAACATTTGGAACAAGCCTGGCATTGGAAAGGGCCCTCAAAGAATTTGTACCTCGGAGTTATCAAGATCATTTCTTTAATTCAAGCTCAATCAATTAGCTGTCGCATAACTTGTCACGTTACCAAATAATAATAAGGAAGATCCCGTGGGTGATCGTATTTGGAACAAGCTACTGATACCTTTGGAAATGGAGAAATGCTTGGATATTTGAAAGAAAGTATGTGACAATAGAAGGAAAATTAAATGCAATCCTAAGTTTTGCTTCAGTTATCGTCAAAAACTGTGGTAAGATTGGGAGTAGTATTGACACACTAGAAAGCAGGAAGGAGGAGATCCTGGTTGGCTAGACAGCACCTCCACATGGTTGGCTTACCTTAAACTCAAGATGGTGCCTTTAAAAGATTACTAAACAAGGCAACAGCAGTCAGCAGGTGGAGTACTTCGAGATTCTTGTGGCAACGAGTTTAGTGGATTTGCTGCAAGACTTGAAAGATGCACGGCATAGTGAGCTGAGTTGTGGGGTACTTATAAATTAAGGGCTCAATTTAGCTTGGCAGTTGGGTTACAGAAAAATAGATCTCCAAGTTGATAGTAACTAGTGGTGCAAGCCATCACTTCCCTTAGAAGTCATCCATGTTCAAATTCAGATTTGATTGAAGCTATTTAAGATTTACTTCATCATTAATGAAAAGTCAAAATACGACATATATTTAAAGAAGGGAACATTGTAGCAGAGTACTTGGTAAATAAAGGCTTCGATTTAGTCAAAGAGTATAGATTTTATAATATCTTCAAATAGAGATCAAATTTCTTTCATGAATAATATGTTGGAGATTAATTTCCCTTGATTAATTAGATTTTAATAAAATTTGTTTTTTACAAAAAAAAACCATTTAACATGTTGAGGTGCGAATCTGACTTTTTTTTTAAATATCTTTTGTTTAAATTTAAATATTGAATATTGAAACTCATAAATATACCTTTTTCATATTCTAATAAAAGATAATAAAAATAATTTTAAAATATCAAAAATAAATTTTAATAATTGATGTCACATGATATGTATTACATATCATATAATAACACTTTTGATATTTAATTAAATATAACACATTGTTTTTGATATTGTAATGTATCATGTATCGTACCATATTAATAACGTAAATTTACTTGAAACTAAATGTTATTGTTTTTTATTTTTCTCATCTATGTATAGTAGAGAGTTGGAGCTAAAATTATTATTTTACAAAGTGCAGCTGCCAATTAAAATGTAATTAATTGAACCTATGCATTATTCATAATAGTTTCCCTTAACATTATCAATCACTGTTATAAAACAGCGAAAAGTCCCTTCAAAAAACAATTGTTAATGATTTGGCCGGCTGTCGTTGTATCCTTAAAGAAAAAGGTGGCTTCTCATTATATTCTTTAACAAAAATACTCTTTAAAAAATGTATTTTCGATACTGTTTTATTAAGTTGATAGTATTCTAATAATAATAAATATAATAACAAATTTTCATTAATTAATAATCAATTTTGAATTAAATATCGATCTTAAAAATTCAATAAAAATTAAACACATTTAACATTTGTCATCATAATAAATTAACAATCATTTTATTTTCTTATAGTTTTTCAACATAACAGATAGTAGTAATATAACAAATTTGATCGCATCGATCCTGTTTAAATACATATCAAACAGATTTAAACAAATAATTTCATCCTAGTAAATTAGCCTTCTATTCCTTTCTCAAGGGGTTGTGATACCTGGAACAAATTAATAAAATAAATAAATAAAACCAATCAATAAATAAATAAAAAGTACTTATAAGATAATATCAAGTGGAAACTTAAATGAATCTGGAAGCAGAGAAGATTGGAAGAATATTAAACATGATCAGTCACATTAATTCTGAGAATCTGATAAGTGCACCAGAAAGAGATTAAGAGAGAGAGCGCTATTACTTCCACACTTGAAGTTGTGCGGAACAGTCCTTCCGCAGCTTTCGATCTGCTTAATGGTGGTGCGTTCCACTCCGATGAGGGCTGCCAGCTGAGGGGTAATAACAGGGCAAACACACTCCACATGGGTGGCCCTAACGCGTTCGCAGCAACTGGGTGAGGGGCTGAGTCCGAATATCACCGCCCTGCAAGCATTAACAAGTAGCCTTTGCTCCTCCTTGCACTGGGCGGGACTCAAGTCACCTCTACCCATGGGAACCTCCGAAACACACGCCGCCACCACCACCACCACCACCACCAATATAACAGTACCAGCCCAGGAGACTGCCATCAATCCTTTCCAACTCTTTCTTGCGGAGAAGCAGAGTTGCATCGCTGCTTTTAATAATGGAGGATGGAAACGTAAGCTTTTTCATCTATGATTTTTCCTTTTTGCTAGTGTTTGGTTGAGCTCAGTTTAACGACCATTGACTTCCAAGTTCCAAGTCGGGATATGGCATGAATAGATTAGGGCATTTTGCAATTAAAAGTTAGCGAAGGAAAAATTAAATACTTGTGTGCTTTTCTTTTTAGTATATTTTGAAATGTCATAGTCATACAGTATTTGGAAAAAAAGAATTAAATAACTAATACTAAGGGAAGGCCAGCCAAGTTGCGTAGGGTTAGCCAGTGGCCAAATAGGCACATAGATAAGTCGAGTTATTCCTGTTAGGAGGGAAAAAGAGTGATATAAACAGATGAAACTGGCCAGGAATCAGCTTTGTCTGGAGAATAAAACCAGGAGTTGAAGGTTGAGAAAAATCTTCAGCAAGCACTTTTGGTTTTCCTTAGGTAGAAAATGAGTAACTTTGGAGACATTAGCTTGGAAAATGGTCATTTTCCCACACAAACTGCAACTAGTATCTACCTAGTGGCTACTGCTGTCAAGTGGGCAGAATTATTTGGCGGACCATGTGGGACCGACTCAGCTACAGGGTCGCAGTTGAAACTGGAAAGTGTCATATCTATAACATTTTTGGGGCTTCCTCTACCAACGCGGAGGGCATAAGAAAAAAAGAGCAAGAGGAAAGAAAAAGAGAGGTGGAAAGAGGCAAAAAAAAAAAAGGAAGATAGAAAGAGGCTCATCTATAACAGACGGATCATAGTTTAATGCTCTTAATTAAAGACTCTTTAAAAGAATTTATTTTAAAAATATGGATACGAAGTCCTCTAGGAATGGGGGATTATATGAAAAGGAAATGCTTGGAGTTGAATCAGTTGATGGATTAACTTAAATTCATGAGTAAAATACTTTTATTTTTTAAAATTTTGATCATAATTTCACATGTATTTATTAACATTAAAAATACATAATTTGTTTTAAAATTTTTTTTTTGTTAAACACATAAATACAACTATTAATCAATTTTAAATATTTATATTAGTTTGACGACATAGTAATATTTTTAGAATAAATTTACTTTTTATTAATTTTAAAAATTATCATTATATAAATTATAATTTTATAATTTTAAATTTTTACTCTTTTATTCAAAAAATATTTTTTTCTCTGCGGCCATCTCGTGGTTGGATCTAACTAGAGAGCGTCAAATTTGATTAGATGATTGGTGCTTTTTTGAGAAAATGATCTGGTACTCCTCAAGGAAGTACCATCGAATTTGGTATTTTACAACCAGATTAAGTCGCGAGGTGATCGATCAATGTAAAAGAATAACATCAACTAATTTGATAAAAAAAATTAAAAATTAAAAATAATATTTTAAATATCATATTTAAATATTAATACTGTTTATACATTTAAAATAAAATATATATTTTAAAAATTAATAAATTCACTTGAAATTATTATCAAAACTTATATTTTCTTTTAAATTCATTATTACTTTGAAGGGCTGATCTTGGATTGCTCTGACTGCTTTTTTTTTTTACCTAAATCTGGCCCAATGGATGAGTCTTATAGTTAAACATTGCAACAGAAATGGATAACAAACAGACCAAGCCTGTCAAAATTGCGGATAGGCCTGCTTCATTCTTTGTTTTGTTTGCTCATTCAAGGCCTGTTATTAGGCTTTTATTAATTTTTCATCCATAGCTCTCCAGTATTGCTTAGCAGAGAAGACAAAAAGAAAGAAGGCTGAGGAATGAAAATTCACATGCATTTTTATTGGGTATATATGTAAAAAGAAAGAAAGAAAAACACAACCAGTTCTCAATTTTATTATCATTCAAGGAAGTAAGGAGATCATCATAAAAACATCTCTCTTTCACACACATACATCTGCACAAGTACAGATTAAAGAGATAAAATGTTTGATTAAATACAACTCTTAAAACTATATATATATATATATATATATAGTCATCCTAAGATGATCCTTGTTTCCTTTCTCATGGAGTAGTGATACCTACAAAAAGAAAATATCAAGTTAAGATTGTTAGAACATATACAAACAAATTAATTATATATAGGAGAAAAAATGAAAAATTTGACCATTGAACATGACATTAGAAATACGCTTATCAGTCTCCAAATCTGATTGATTTACGGATGTGAAAATGCAAAGCACTTACTTCCACACTTGAAGTTGTGAGGAACACTCCTTCCGCAGCCTTCGATTTGCTTAATGGTGCGTTCCACTCCGATGAGTGCAGCCAACTTAGGGGTAACAACAGGGCACACACACTCTACTTGGGTGACCTTGACACGTTGGCAGCAGGCGGCTGAGGGGCTGCGGCCGAATATGACCGGCCGGCATGCATTCACAAGGAGCCTCTGCTCCTCCTTGCACTGGCTAGGGCTCATGTCTCCCCTTGCCATAGGAACCTCAAAAACACCCACAACTAGCACAACCACCAAAGTTAACACACCAGCCCATGAGCTTGCCATCATAATTAAGCCTTTTTCTTTCTCTCTTTATTTTTCTGGTCTTTTTTTTTGCCCCTTTTCTTCTTTGCTTTGGCTACTCTAACCTTACTCCCCTTTTGTAGAGGGACGAAATGTAGAATTTAATGATATAGATATATATGTATTCCAATTATATTATTGGGGTTTCGTATGCATATCAATGTCATAGACTTCCAGGTCAAGATGGATGCAGCCTTGACCATCTTATTAATTTAAAACTATTCAAAAGAGGGGAATCTTACTTAACTACCTTGTCCTGAGTTCACATGTAAAATTTTGACATAAAATTTTGACTTTATGTAGTAATACTTTTGCCAAGAAAAGTTGATCAAACTTCACATAAAATGTGATTACATATAAGTTTTATATAATAAGTATGTCCTAATTTAGAAACTTCACCAACCTTTACATAGAGATTTTTACTTTAGTATATCTTTTTTGGGAATTATTAATTGATATAAAATATATAGCTAGTATTAATTATTACATTAGAACTTCGTATTTCATCAAATTTCTTAAAAGCTATTGCGTACATATTCCAATACTAGATCCACGAGGAAAGGAAGATTAGTAATTAATTTATATACAGTTTTTATAACAACCAATGAAATCTATGTACCGGCTAGTACTTTTTGATCTGCGGGAAAACCTTTTATGTAGAATTTACTTGTAATTAATCAATTAGGTCAGAAGTCATTATCAATGACAACGAAAAAATGGCCAGGAAAGAGAAATGCGATGCTGATAAAAATTATAGACAAACCTTCATAGAAAAATGTGCTTGGGAAAATAGGCTTTTCCACACGCAAGTTGCGTTGAGGCGAGCGCAGCGAATTTTCCTAGTGCTTTCCTGTTCTGGAAATCTTTGCCATATCACATTGGATTCTTATTAATATTAATATTAACAGATTGCAAAAGATGGTGGGTGATGTAAGATATAAGCAACTGCATAGGGAGACAAATCACTTTGCAGATGCACTTGCAAAAATGAGAGTTGATCCATCTCAATATGTTCAGTGCGTGTTGATAATTTAGTATATGTTGTACTGATGTAAAGATGGGGATTGTTTATGACTCTGTGCATGAAGATGAAAGTTATCTTGAAAAGTACTTCAACTCATATAAATAAATATATATATATATATATATATCATTATTTAGATGTTATTTATAATGAATTATATTTTTGTTTTTTCCCTTCAACATTTTGGGCTGTGAAGCTTTGTAAACTACTTTTTATTAATCATTTGTTGGAGAAAAACAAAAGCATGAAAGATAAAATCCCAACAAGGGTCTGTCCTCCTACAACACGCCTAAAGAAACACATTTACATATTACCCAAAACCACATAATTAACAGGGGACCGTAGTGGAAAAACAGAGTCCAGAAATGATTGTACCCTCATAATTAAGCCACCTAAAACAGATCATACAGCAATTAAAACAGGCAT